AGCACTTTATCCTCTGAAGAACAGTGTTGACAAGTTTGCCCAACTGGTTGATATGTGTGTGGCTTTTTTGGAATTGAAGACGGCATTTAACCGCATCTCTCGGGGTTGTTTTGTAGTATGAGGCATCATGTCTGTTGCTGCAAACTGGGCATTAGTACAGTTGCAGTGACAGCTTGGTTCACATTGTTGAAATGATTCTGTTCATAGTTTTTGAACAGAACTTCTACGTGCATACACTGACGTGAAAAAGTGTTTCAGATCATTAAACAAATTTAAATATTAGACAAAGATAAAAAAAATTTAAAAAAGTAAACACAAAATGCAGTTTCTCAATCAAAGTGTTTATTATTTATGTTAAGGTGCATGGCGAGAACGGGGCCCAAATGCAGGACTTTCCAATCCTGCAGGACTGTGCTCGTGGTCCATGTGTGACAGGAAAACAACTCCAACACTCGACATTTACAAACACTTCGCTCCTGTGACACACTCCTCTCCAAGTTCCTAACAAGACAAGGTACAGAGATCAGATCGGTGAACTCAGAGAAACACACGTACAGACTATTTCCACTCAGAGCTGGGACTTCACTTACTTGGTAACTCAACGATCCAGCGTTGACTGAAGCTCAGTCAAACAGTTAAATAGTGGCCAATCTAGACAAAAGACAGGTGTGGCGGCTTCAACACGGGAAACACCTTCCGGCCTGATGACGCTCATAAACTGGCACGCTGGAATACACACACACACACACACACACACACACACTTAAAGGAAGAAGCAGGGAACTGGGAGGGGAGCCAAAACAAAACATATAAAAAACATACATACAGGCAGGTTGAACGTAGGAGACTCCCAGACCATCACAATCGAGCAGGGAAAATTCAAACCTACATCATATATAGAGAAAATAAAGTAAAATGAATATTTTAGAGAGGGAGACAGAGAGAGGAGATAAAACCCTTTTGCAGCACTTATGTCACAGTAAGGCAGATATAAAAGGTACTAGACCAGTTCTAGGTTTGCAGCTAAGAAGGTCACACTTAACCCTCCACAGTTCAAGATAGTTTTAGTTAACCCAACTTTGTTCCAAATTACAAAACTAGGTTATTCTTTAAGATTTCTTCTTCTTCTTAATTTAGGAATCAGATTTAATCTAAAACCTTCAGTTTCAGATTCTACTTATTTAAGAGAATCAAAGAGTCTAAGACCGATCTGTTCTGTGCAGGGCTGATAAAGCCAACGTAGTGCTATGAGCTCATTTAACTTTAATCCCTCTGAGCAGTTTGTGTCTTTCCTTGCATGAGAAAAGGACTCTTATCAAAACTCAATTTGGTGCATTGAGCCTTTAACACAGAGTTCCTATAGAGAAATTTAGTTTGACTCAAAACAGGAAAATAACATCAGCATTTAAAATGACTCAATAGTCAGGGAGGATAAATCACAGGTTCTGACTCCAGCTTATTGGTCAGAAGAACAATCTGTCACCTATAAAAATTCCATTTCTCCTCGTTATAGTTGTTTCTACTTTCAGATCAAAAATGCAGATGAAGAGAAAAGATGGAACTATCTGATCCAGCTGTGGCCCGTAGTTATTTGTGAACAATACATGTTGACAGGAAAAAAGAAATCATAAAGTCTGTGAATTCATTACTGAAATGGCTATAAAAAATATTTAGCATGACGTCTTTGTTCAAAATGAATTCAAGTATTATTTCCTCCCTGTCTATTAGTGCCCTCACGTTGCATGCACGGGTGCAGCTGATGTCAATAGTCAACCAAGTACGAGAGGGACTACAGCTCTGTGGTTTAGATTAGGTGTGGGCAAACCCTCACCAGACGTGACAGCAGCTCTTACATTTGAAGGATGTAAATAAAGTTGTAACAGAGGCTCACACTTGTTCTAAAAAGTTTTTTTTTTTTAGTTATGGTATCTTATCACTTACATCATTTCTCTGGACTGTGGGATCAAGCCAGAGCTCCTGGAGAGAACCCAGACAGCCATGAGGACTCTCTTGCTCTGAGGTGACTGCTGTTCACGGTGCACTAAAGACTCTCAGTTGTCTTTGGATGCTCCTGTTTCTTTCTCCTAATGCACTTACTGCTCCTCTCTTTTCAAAGACAAATACCAAATAACACGAGAGAAGAGTGAATCACTTTAGAACAAGACAAACACTCCTGGTTGGTCCTGTGTGTTTGTTGTTGTTCGTTTGTCTCAAACATGAAGAGTAACTTCTGGTTCTGCCAATGAAAAAAGGTTTACCGCTGAAGCAACTTTCAGATTCACTCACAGATTATAAGGATATATTTTCATTTGCACTTTATTTACATTTTATAACAGTTTGTTTTTTCATTTAATCAGAAAATTATTTTTGAATGTATTTTATCACCATATTATTTATCCAATTTCTATCCCCCCGTTTTTTCTTCTCTTTTGCTGTAATAAAATTTCATTATTTTTGCGTTATTAAGCCTGACTTGAGCCTTTCAAATTTCTACTTGCAGTCTGATTTGTTCCATGAATTGTTAACTGTTTGGCTTTTGTTTTATGTGCAGGTTCACATACACATAATAAATAAATGTCTTTGTGATTATTACATTGTACATACATACAAAGGTTTTAGCTGTTAAAATAAAGTCGATTTGATTTAGTTATTAAATATAAATCAAACCAAAAGCAATAATGTATTCAATACAGTTAATATCTGAATGGGCCCTGGGGCACTTTTTAGTGAAAAAGTTGGGGCCCGAGGTCAAAAAAGGTTAAGAACCCCTGCTTTAAACCACTGCATCTGACACGTTGCATTGCACTGGACGCAGCTGCTCAGCCATGGAAACTCGGTCCTTGAAGCTCTCTGTTCTTGATCTGTTATTTGCCTGTGATTTTATATGGACTACCGCTTCTTGGCTGTTGCTGTCATTCCCATTTGCTTCCTCCACTCACAGTTGAACAGTTTGGAATATTTAGTAGGTAAGACATTTCATGATTGGACTTGTTGCACAGATGATCAACCTATCATGGTACCAAACTGGAATTCATTGAGCTCCCATTCTTTCAGAAATGTTTGTAGAAGCAGTCTGCCTAGGTGCTTGGTTTTATACACCTGTGGCCATGGAAGTGATTGGAACACCTGAATTCAATGTTTTAGATGGGTGAGCATTAACGGAGGAAAAATAATAATCCCAGTATCTACCTCCAGGGATTAAGCAGGTAAACCAAACGTATGAATTTTACGAAGATTGGAAACTATTTTGAATGTTGGGTCGATGTAGAATGATGGCCTTGAAATCTTCTACCAGGTCAGCATTTCTTCACCTCATACAGGAATCCCATTTTCAAATAAAAACAGCACAGCAGATTTAAAAACACTGGACTTTATTAAAAGAAAAATCCATCGAAGGGATGCAGTTTAGCATTTTTGAGCAAAATAAAAGATTTGATAGGGAAAAAGTGGCCATAAAGTGCAGATACAAACACTGGCTGACTTGGTGATTTTAAATGTAGTGCGAACTTAAAATAAAATCATTACATTTTAAAAGAAAGAGCTGCACACTGAGCCAACGATACAAAACTCAGTAGATGTGCATCTGTTTTCAACTGATTAAACTTGAACCAATTAGTTTCAGTTCAGAGTGTTATTGAGATTTAAAAAAAAAAAAAATTAACACAGGAGTAAAAATAATGTGCATCCCATTAGTGTGCAACATGCGGTTCTGGGGGGGAAAATGCATGACTAAAGATGATCATTTTTGTTGTAGACTGTGCAGTCATTAACATCCGTTTTCATCACCAGCAACTGTTGAATGGGAAAACTTTACACCCTGTCAATGTACAACAATACGTCAAAGCAGGAACACACAAATGTCTCATACACAAACACTTCACTATCGTCTCTTCAAAAAACATGAAACCAAATAACAGCAACATTAATTCTCAGGTGAGTATAAAAATAACCTTTGTCACAAAGGGGTGTAGGGGTGGAGAACTTTTTTTTTTCACTGCAATTTTCACAAGCGATAAAGTGGGGTGGGGGGGGAAGTCAGACATTTCACCAAATGTTAGCCCGTTCTGTGCTCTATTAAACCATTAATTTCTTTCCTCAAGCTTGGGGAAAAAGGAAGACACGCAGATGCCTGTAAAACTGCACCAAACTGTACTTGCATTACAACATTAACAGCTGACGAGCTGCTGTGCGTTTAACGGACACGTTAACTCAGATGTAGAACGAAGTACACAGTTTAATTAAAAAAGAGAACCTAAAAGTTAATTTTTCTGACTATTTCCAGGGCTTTCCTCCTGACAGGAAGTTCATTTATTTGCCATCCGGTATATACGCCGCCTACAGTATGACGAACTGTTATTATTATTATTATATGCTCAAAGTTTGACAGTAAGTATCTGCCGCTGTGCTGAAAACCATGACATACACCTGAAAATGTGACTTTTGTGTCACAATGCTCACGCTTATTACTTAATAAATGTTTTTAAGACAAACAGAATGATTTTTATACAGCTTCATCCAAAGTTCACCCCATTTTAAATTGTTTTAACAGTAAAAACTGGGCTTCTATGAACACTAAAGCCACATACTAAACAGCCTTTAGTTTCACTTTCTTTCAGTTTCTTCTTCAGAAATTTCTTCTTTTTTAAAAATAGAGTACTTTAGCATATAAATTTGTCTGCGAAGCAAATGAAAATTATAGTTTTCTTGTGCTCAACACTTTAACCATTATGTCTTTGATTAGAATAACTAAGTAACAACCTGCTAACTGAAAGACCCGTCAATTCAACATGGCTGATGGATAGCTGAGATCTGACATCCTGTTTGTTGGTCTGCACAATAATGACAAAAATAAA